AATTTAAACACAAACCTTATGAAATGGCATTTTAGGGTTTCGATTGTACGGTAAAGCATTTGGATCATTCATCAGTCTGCACATTAAACTGAAATATTGTAGAAATGCAAAATAACCACGGCCGGGGAAGGACAAACAAATTAATCAATTCTAGTAGCAGCAAATAATAAAAAGCAAGCGATAGCTTCAAAATCCTCTGAAATCCTGATTGATAGAATGTTGACAAATATTACAGTTCGTTTTGTCAGGCAAACGATTGAATTTATTTGAGTTATTGAATGCGTTGCGCATCGCACTTTTTGGAGATCGTTTATAATAGTCAAAATAATCAATTCATCAAGGATTGTGATCAATAACGTGATCAATATTGCTGACACTCCAACAACAGGAACCATAAATTATAATTTGCAAGAATCTTGTGAGAAAAAAGTGTCTTAAGTGATAAAATTTTCAAATTGTTCGGATGAAAACATCTCAGAAGAGAATTTAATGGTACTAACTCGCAGAGTTGAACACCATCTTTGAGTGCTTCAGCCACGTCTTGTGCCGACTGCAGTGTTAAAGGATCAGTTGGAAATTGTACATTTGTGACTTGTTCAATCCATGAAAGCACCTCTTGAGCTTCATCGATTGAAAATCGTGCTTGATTCTGAAAGATCACAAAAAATCTGAAAATCTGTTTAATAAATGCTCAAGTAGTTGTTTTAGCAGGGAAGAAGTCTCTTAGTCACAGTTACTCCTTTATAATATTTTATTGTTGCTATCGTTCCTGCTATTGTCAACACCATCATAATTATTCTTAACATGAATTCTTACATACGAACGGTTACTTAATTAAATTATTCATGACATATTGACTCATTCTTAATGAGGTCATTGAAGTGCTCCATATGCTTCAATATCTGCGTTTCAAAATACTTTATGGAATCAGAAACACCAGGGATAGATTTATCTCTTTATGTGAAATTCTCATTAGAATTTATTTATTAGTATTTTCGAGATGCCTGCTCATTCTTCAGGCTATTTTTCTTCAACATTCCTGGAGTTATTACCCAGCCAGACAGAGAAGTTTCTTGGCTATCAGACTAGCAAATACATTTTTGAATTTACTATTCGATAGTCAAGAATTATCTGTGACTTTTTCATGACTTCAGGGAATCGGCTACATTTTGAAGGCGTATTTTTTGAAGGCATCTCGAAGAAAACGATTCAAGGACGTCCCTTGACTCTATAAGCTCAATCTTCGCCTAGTTCCTTAGTCTATTTGTTGTCAATTAATGCGTTACAATGAGGACCATGTGTGGTCATGCCACTGNCATGATTCTTATCCAAAAAATTTGTGATGTTTCGTTATCAACGACTAAACGAAATGCTGAACTTTATTGGCTAAATTATTCGAGCAGCAAAATTCCGCATGATCCGTCAGAAATTTTGATCGAATTTGCAATGGTTTTGACCGAATTATTGATTATCGCAAATGATACTGCGGAACAGATCAGAAGGTCATCGTTCACATTGAACATCTGTGCACAGTTGATAGGTGATCTGATTCGTTGATTGATAATCCAACACGAAATGAATAGGTTACTGACAAAATTCTCATCTCAACTTGATTGAAATCGATTTTGAAGAATTTAAAAATATTTCGAGA